AATCATGTATGGAAACCCCCCTCCTATGATACCTAGCCTCCAAGCTGACCTAGCATTGACCTTGGGAGACCAGGACCTACTAGATTCACTCCAGCAGTTGCAGCTAACACACCAACGGGTCTGGCCGCAACTCAGAGCCATATATGAAGCTGCTGTCCCCCGGCAACCCCACAGGTTTAAACCAGGTGACTGGGTCTTCATCCGTAGACACCAACGGAAAAATCTCGAGCCAAGATGGAAGGGCCCCTTTGTGATCCTCTTGACGACTCCCACCGCACTCAAAGTGGACAGTGTCGCGGCTTGGGTACACTACTCCCACACAAAACCTGCTGACCCATTTGCAGTCCCAGAGGATTACAAGGGAGACACCTGGAAGGCATCCCCACACCCTTCGAATCCATTCAAGCTCCGCATCCGACGAGACCCTTCCTGGTAACCTGTCTATTGTTGACATTGAATTGCTTATTGGCTGATGGCACCTTTCCTGCAAGTAACATAAATCCCCATATGCCCCAAAACTTTACTTGGGTAATCACCAACCCCACCATGGGGATGGTCATCAACTCTACCTCCAAGACAGCCTCTCCCAACACTTGGTACCCCGGCCTTTGGGTTGACCTCTGTGACATCTTTAAAGGAAAATGGGAACCTCATGACCAGACCCCCTTTCCTCCCTTCGGCTGCCGAGACCCCGGCCCCAGATCACACACGCGAAGCCTCGCCATCTACGTTTGTCCAGGCCACAGATGCAGCAGACAAGTTAAAAACTAATGTGGGGACCTGGGGATTATTATTGCACCAACTGGGGCTGTGAGACCACCGACACATACTGGTAAAAAGGGTCATCAACTGGGGATCTAATAACCCTACAATGGTCCCCCGGATCTACCACCCTGGGATGGGGAGGGACCACTGGAGGAGGTATGGGGGGCCCTGTGCCCAACCACAGTGCAACCCCCTCATAATTCGGTTCACTGAGAAAGGAGAACAGTCTATGGGGTGGGATGTAGGACACACATGGGGCCTACGGCTATATGCTGCAGGAAGAGACCCTGGGGCCCTCTTTACCATTCAATTCCTCCTTCGACCAGTCGTCCATGCACTGGGACCCAACCGAGTCCTAAATCCCCCCCCAGATGATTCTCATAAATCTTCTCCAGCTAACCCCCCTCCCGGACCTCCCACTGCCCAAACCTATACTCCTGCGCCAACAACTCAGGCTCTTGAGTCCTCAAGGGCAGATCCTATTCCTCCCCCTCCTGCCACTACCCCGACCTGGGAAATTCTTTTGCAGATGCTAAATTCATCTTATTATTTCCTCAATGCAACCAACCTGAACGCTACCTGCTCTTGCTGGCTCTGCTATGGTGTTGCCCCCCCATATTATGAGGGAATTTCTGTACAAGGAATGTTCTCCCTTGTGGATTACACAGAATGCAGATGGCTATCAAATGTTTCTCTTACCCTATCTCAGGTAACTGGCATTGGGACCTGTGTTGGCCAGGTCCCACTGACCTATACTAGCCTCTGCAACATCATCCTCTCCCTTAATGTCCCAGGGAGGGGACAGTTCCTCCTGCCTCACAATGACACCTGGTGGGCCTGCACCACGGGACTAACAGCCTGTGTAAATCGGGAAGTCCTGCAGAGAACATCTGGTTTCTGTGTTATTATCAGACTCCTGCCTAGAATCACCTACCACACTCATGAAAATTTCTTAACCCTCTATACTAGTCTAAAAGGCCCAAGAACTACCAGCCTCACTAGACTTAGAAGGGAGCCAATAACCACAGTAACTTTAAGTCTCCTCATTGGGACAGGGATTGCTGCTGGGATAGGGACAGGAGCTACAGCCTTGGCAAGACAAGATCAGCATTATTCCCAGCTCAGAGCCAGCTTAGATTCAGATCTCCGACGAGTCGAAGAGTCAATTACTCACCTACAAGACTCCCTGAGCTCACTGGCTGAGCTAGCTTCAGCATTATTCCCAGCTCAGAGCCAGCTTAGACTCAGATCTCCGATGAGTCGAGGGGCCAATTACTCACCTACAAGACTCCCTGAGCTCGCTGGCTGAGCTAGCCCTGCAAAATCAAAGGAGATTAGATCTTCTGTTCTTACAGCAGGATGGTCTATGTGCCGCCCTAAGAGAAGAATGCTGTTTTTATAGAGACCGCTCAGGATTAATAAAGGATAACATGGCCAAAATAAGAGAAGGGTTGGAACAGAGGAGACTAGAACGAGAGGCCAGACAGGGATGGTTTGAGTCCTGGTTCAACCAATCTCCCTGGTTGACAACCCTCATCTCCACCCTCTTAGGTCCCCTTATACTCTTATTT